TGGGCAAGATTTCAACCCATGACCATAGTACTATTATTAATGAAGATCTCTATTGGTGTAGTAAAACCTTTACTCTCCTCATGTCACGTGGTAGCATTTTTTATTTTTTTTAAAAAAAATTACGCAAAGAGATGACTAAAACTTGAATTCATAACTATAGATTTAAGCCAGGTTTGGGAACAGGCTAATTTAGTAACTTTTTGACTATTTGGCTAAAATATGAACTAAAAAAAACTAGTATGTTTGGCATGACATTTTAACTTTTTACGAAAAAATTGCAAAAAGTAGAGAGAAAATAGAATTTTTGACTTTTTAGTATGAGTTGTTGGCTTTTTTAGTAACTTTTTGATTTTTTAACTAAACCGACTAGTCCCCAAACGAGACCTTATGATAGAAGAATTTATACTACTTAAACTAAATACATATTATAATATTAATTTTGTTATTATTATTTTTTATTCTTACTTATTTGAATTATGCCCGCTATAAATTATGCATCGAGGGGTTAGAGGAGAAAACTAATAAGAAGCAGTCTAAGCAGGAGGACGAGAATGGCAAAGCAAAAACAAGAAGAAAGTGAGAGAGAGAGAGAGAGAGCCATTGGGCTCATCTTCGCTTTTGATCATTACAAAGAAAACAAGCACATATATATATAATATTATATATATAGCAGTTGACACATGTATAATTTAAATAAAATAAAAATATGTATTATATATTGTGTGTTATTTAAGTACTAAGAATTTTTTTTAATAAACGAAAAGCCTGATGCGTTAAAAAATAAATAAAATAAAAAAAATTGATGTTCAAGTCTCATGCTCATCCTTTATCTATTTTTTTTTTTTTTAATAGAGACATAAACACTTCGTATAAGAAGAGATAAACTATAGAATACCAACAAAAGTACTCATTTTAAAATGTAGATATATGGAAATCACTTTGTTAGTCCTTAGATTTTGTTGCTTGTATCATTTTGGTATGTAAGTTTTCAATTGATTCAATTTTGATCATTAATTAGATTTTATGTCAAATTTAGTCTAATTAATATCACTTTCAAGGTTTTTAACGAAAAATGATTACTGAGTTGGCTGAAGTTAAATCATTATATTAATCAAGTTTATAATTTTACTTTTAAAAATATAACACATATTACTCAGTGTGCATTTATCATATAAAGGGACACAACTTGTCTTCGGTCTATTTGTTTGAACTCATAAAACCTATCACAAGTCTCGTCTCAATATTCGAACCATTCATTTTTTAATCCACGACATTTTGAAACAAATTAACAAGACTACTACTTGAGTTTGATCATACAAATATTGGCCTTTCAGTTTTGATCATCTGGCTCCTATGTTTTAACTTGATTTTTTATTATTATTATTTGATCAGAACAATATTTGTATGATCCACACACGTGCACATGGCTGATTTCATCGTATTTTAGAGACGATTTATAGCAACTCAATGAACAATATTAGTGGAAACAAATAACAATGATGTGATATTTGTAACTTGAATCGTTAAAAAAAATAAAATAAAAATAATTGATGTTCAAGTCTCATGCTCATCCTTTATCTATTTTTTTTTAATAAAGAAATAGACACTTCGTATAAGAAGAGATAAACTATAGAATACCAACAAAAGTACTCATTTTAAAATGTAGATATATGGAAATCACTTTGGTAGTCAATTGATTCAATTTTGATCATTAATTAGATTTTATGTCAATTTAGTCTAATTAATATCACTTTCAAGGTTTTTAACGAAAAATGATTACTGAGTTGGCTGAAGTTAAATCATTATATTAATCAAGTTTATAATTTTACTTTTAAAAATATAACACATATTACTCAGTGTGCATTTATCATATAAAGGGACACAACTTGTCTTCGGTCTATTTGTTTGAACTCATAAAACCTATCACAAGTCTCGTCTCAATATTCGAACCATTCATTTTTTAATCCACGACATTTTGAAACAAATTAACAAGACTACTACTTGAGTTTGATCATACAAATATTGGCCTTTCAGTTTTGATCATCTGGCTCCTATGTTTTAACTTGATTTTTTATTATTATTATTTGATCAGAACAATATTTGTATGATCCACACACGTGCACATGGCTGATTTCATTGTATTTTAGAGACGATTTATAGCAACTCAATGACCAATATTAGTGGAAACAAATAACAACGATGTGATATTTGTAACTTGAATCAATTTGATTCTTTGATGCCACTACATCACAACCATTTTCATTTAAATGACATTATGATTTCTAAGATCTCCAGTGGCATTTACGCTATGTTTAGATTGAGTGATTTGGAGAGAAAAGAAAAGAAATTGAGTGATATATATTTCTCTTATTTGTTTGGATAATCTAAATAGAGAGAAATTGGAAGAAATGAAGAGAAATAGAGAGAAACTCATTTCTTTTATAAGCCTCATTTTCAAGCTTTCCAAAAGTGGAGAGATTGAGAGAGAAAAGAAACCACTATTTTCATAATACTAATTTTGTCCCCATAAAAATAAAAGAAATAAAATGATTGAAAATATAAAAAGGTTATTTTGGTAATATAACATAAAATAATTTCTTTTCTTTTCTTTTCTCTTAATGAAACCTAACCAAACAAAAATGAGAGAAATCACAATCATTTCTTTTCTTTTATTTCTTCCTTATCCAAACAAAAAGGAGAGAATCTACATTTTGCTGCATTTAATTTCTGTAAGAAAAGAGTGTAAACACTTAGTGTGTTCGTAAGGCAAACAATTTGTAGTGCTGCTATTGTTTGTAGTAGATCATTTCATCCTGGGAGATAGACGTCCGAATTCTGAAAGCACCGTGGAGAGGACGAATCTGTCTTAAGGACACAGTGTCAAACACTGGACTTGATCAGAAAATAATTCGAAGAAATTAAATCAAGTAAGTTATTTAATTTATTTTCAGTGTTGTTTTTATTTATTTAAATCAGATTTTAATTTTGTTTTTTGTAACAAAATAAAATCTGTTTTTATTTATTTATTTTTATTTCGAGTTTGATTTTTGTAATCAAACAATTTCTCTCCTTTTCTTTATTTCTTTAAATTCTATTTGTTGTTGTGTACACAATAGAATTAAATCTTTTTAAATACAGTGAAGATTGTCCTACACATTTATCATAAAAAGGGACACAACTTGTCTTCAATCTATTTGTTTGAACTCATAAAACTTATCACAAGTCTCGTCTCAATATTCGAACCATTCATTTTTTAATCCACAACATTTTGAAACAAATTAACAAGACTACTACTTGAGTTTGATCATACAAATATTGGCCTTTCAGTTTTGATCATCTGGCTCCTATGTTTTAACTCGATTTTTTATTATTATTATTTGATCAGAACAATATTTGTATGATCCACACACGTGCACATGGCTGATTTCATCGTATTTTAGAGACGATTTATAGCAACTCAATGAACAATATTAGTGGAAACAAATAACAATGATGTGATATTTGTAACTTGAATCAATTTGATTCTTTGATGCCACTACATCACAACCATTTTCATTTAAATGAAATTATGATTTCTAAGATCTACAGTGGCATTTAGTTTTGAGCCACACACTTTTGTTACAAAAAATTGGGATAACCTTCATCATAAAATTTCTTTCAAAGTCCAGTCCTACAACTAATCATATAAAATAAATATCTAATTGACATTATATATTTTCATATTCATTACATAACAAACATGGACAAGAGAATTATTTATCTTACTAATTCAATTGAATAATTATTAATTTACTCACTACTAATCTTATTAATCAAACAGTTCCTCAGAGATAATACGAAAAAAAGAAAAAAAAAAACACCATAAAGTACAAGCATTATTTGCTGGCAATCTTCAAAATGCACCATCAACAAAAAAAATCTAAGAGAGGATTGGGTATTATCAATCTCTTTTCCATTATAGACTCATGGGTAGGGGTCTTTTCCACATAAAATACTTTGAATTCAATCACTACTCTCTCAAGATTTGCTAGGTTTTAATGAGTCTTCATGTATGCTCTCTGCAAATACAGATAAGATGAAGGAATAAAATGTATTGCTTTTTCTCATTTGTTCTTGGAAATCCTATAAGCAACAAATTAATGTATTTTGATATTTTTTTTAAACAATTAGCCTATAAAAAAACAATAATCAAACACATAATCGGACAAAAAAAAAAAAAAAAGGTGGATAAATTTTTTGAGAAACAATCCCAACAAACCTTGTCCATATACGTTCTTCTTGTGTTCATTTTTTTTTGTATTCCTAGCATTGTAATTTTTTGAAAGAAAAATAGCTCCACTACATTTTACTTTTTAGTTTTTTCAATAATCGGTAGGAGGAGGATAACTGTATAAGAGAAGGGCAAGTTGAACTATGCAACGATAAGACTCGAACTATGACATCATGCACCTAATAAGGAAGGTCTTGACCCTTGGTCTCCTACATTTTGAAAGTTCGTAAAACTTGGGCTTCTTTTGGATGGATGGATTTCAAATGAAGAGATTTGAGGTATAATTTTATAAAATTATAAGAAAATTAGCTATCCAAGGTAGATAGATAATTCTAAAGTGGAGAATTGAATAGAGATATGAGATGTATTTTATTAACATTCTTATATAAATTTAATCTTTTATAGAATGATTTCTAATAACTTGGTAAAAATATCAATATAAAGTTTTCAAATCCAATCCTTTTTTTGTTTTTTATTTATTTATTTTTTTTTTTTTTGAGGAAATTCAAATCCATTGTTGAAATCCATATCTAAAGCATTAACATGGAAATGAACTCCTCAGATTATTAATGCTAAATCCACTCAAACCCCCAAATTCAAATGCAGCCTTAATTTCCTCTAATATCCAAGTCTAGAACAACAGCACCAAATGGATTCCAATAACAAGCATATATAGGCAGAACCGCATATAAAGTTATACAAATCAAAAGCCCAACCTAGGAAGTTAATTTGAAAAGAAGAATAGTTAGGCATTAGTTATTAACAATAGAGTACAAAAAAGAAAAAAAAGTAACAAAATATGAAGAAGGAAGAGAGGGTGAAGAACAAGTAATTAACTATCATGTGCATGTCATAAGCCCAAAGCCCCCCAATTCTAATCATGATAACAAAGAAGCATAACAATGCATCTTCTGATTATGTAAAGTCTAACCCTTTGCTCTTTGAGGTTCTCTCCTAGGGCTTTACACGGAAATCTTCTCTTAGAGCTTTCAATAGAAGTACTTGTCATCTTCATCTCCCCTTCTATGTGCCTTTGTCCTCCTTTTTCTCTCCCTTGAATGAAATTTTCTTGGATTATTTGCAAGGAAAAGAGTGGAACATTTTTTTTTGCGCCTTGGAAGAGTACTTCTAAATGTAGCAAGGATTTTAATGGAATGAATGGGCATTCTTATAGGAGAAAAAATAGGGTGCGTGATCAAGTGAAGAGACAGATGTGGGGGCATCAAGGGGGTACACAATTTTTCTTACCTCACTTTGGGCTCATCATTTTCTGTCACACACTGGTTTCATTATTGCATACTCTGGTGCATTTGATTGAGGGATTAGAGAGGATTATTTTCTATTCGGATTGTAATTCGGAAGAAGGTTTTTATCCGGCGTTTATTTTTTTTTTAGTTCATCGGACATGGAGTCCGGCTGGACTCCTTATTCCCCATATATGGGATTATACTATCCGGGGGATGTGGGACAATTTTCATGGGATTAGATGGTGAAATGACCATTTTGACCCTCTACTATTTAATTATGTATTTTATTTAGTAAAATTTAATAAAATTTAAATGTCTCAATTTAAAAACAAAATAATTTTATTTAACTTTTTATTGATGTTTTATTTATTTAATTTTTTAAAATATTTTTTATAGATATTTTATTGATATTTTATTTTAAAATTTTGTTTATATTTTATTTAATTTCATTATTTAAATTTTAATAGAAGTTTTATTTAATTTCATTATTTCATTATTATTATTTTTTAAAATAAATTTATTTAAAATTTTAATTAAAAAAATAACATATATTTTTATTGATATTTATTTATTTAATTTTTGAAAAATAAATTTATTTAATTGTTTAAAAAATAAAATAAAATATTAAAGATATGTTTAATATTGCTATTACTTAGTAAACAATTGAAAAATGGTAAAATAGTCTTTTACTCATTTATCCTATCTAGTCCATCCAACCAAATATTGGATTCACTAAAAATAGTCATTTCCAGACATCTAATCCCATGAGAAAACAAACACGGAATACACATCCAATTTAACCAAATAGTCCGAGGGATTCACAGTCCTAAGATTCAAGTCCGGGGGATTCTAATTCACCCTTATCCAGTCCGTCCAATCAAACACACGTTTGGTTGCCGGATAAGGGAAGACTGCATTAGTTATTTGTGGAACTCATTTATCCCATATTTCGTTTCATAATCTGACGATGGGATAGCGTATCCGAATGTGACACTAATCTCATAAATGAGGGATAACTCAATCCTAAGAAGGTGAGATAGCAATAACTCTAGAGATATAGGACCAATCACATAAAATAATATCCAAAATCTCGAGTTCAAGTCACCGCCCTAAAGACCCACTAGGGGTTTGTTCGATCATTACCTTGTAATTAGTTGAAGTGCGCGCAAGATAGTCCGGACACCCAGTTATCAAAAATAAAAAAAAAGGATAAAAAAAGTCTTTTTATTGGCAACCCCATCATCTAATATATATGTCAAGATATGTCACCATTATTTTCTATAGTTAGTTTTGTAATTGATTGTGTTCTTAGATTTATTAACCGAGATAACATAAATATTAATGGAAAAAATTAATACTTGGCGATTGCCTTGAAGAAAAAGCCATGATCTAAAGTGATAAGCGTTATCCGCTCTTAATACTAACTTGTGAGCGGAACTTTTTGCACTAAGTACAACTTTATTTATGTGACATTTATTATATCATGAAAGTGATTTGGGTTTTAATTTCTAAAGTTTTATTATTGAATGACACATCAATTAATAAAAAAATCATAAATTTATTCCCTTCCATTAGGTTTGGAGAAAATAATTATACCAACTCCAGTTTTAATAAGGTTAAAGAAACCGAAACTAATGCCGATAGTGTAAAGACACAAAGATAAACAAGACAAAATATATATATTTCAATGTAAAAAATAGGATAACATTATATTTTCATAAATATGACTAACAAATTATCAATGAAAAGAGCGTTTAGTGTTATGTAAATAAAAAACTTACGAAATTCAAATGTAATTATATTAAATTCATAAAATTTATTATATATTTTTTAAAATTTTAAGAGAGTTGAATGAACTTAGTGACGCAATAAAACAGTACACATGAATTGATGCTTATTTTTTCACTACAAATGGAAAAACAGTAAAAGAGAAGAGGAATGATGCTTGGCCTATGCTAACAAAAGTCATGTCCTAAATGTGCTGATCAAATCAATACACGGGGTGTGAATCTGCTGTGGGGACTCACTGATTGATTCCACATATGGATAATCAGGGGGGCCATGCTGAGTTTGCAATTTCAATGTATGATTATAAAAAAAGAAGAAAAAAAATTCCCATCTGTATGTACAATTAAAGGTCAAAGAGTGCACCTGATAGCCACCTGATATTCATGGCCACTGTCTGTGAGATGGAAGACAACCTAGTCCAATTGCTTGCTTGTCATGACCACATTCTCTTTTTATTTGTTGAATTCATCACCTCTAGTTGTGCATAGGTCCTCTAGTTGTTGCCCTATCAAATCAAGCATAAATTTGAAAGCAAGCAAGAAATAGTTAGTTGTGACAAAATCCTTGACATTTACATTTTTTTTTTTTTGGATTAATGTTTTCAAAATTTTGAATTGGTTCACATTTAATTCACCCTTTTCGTTACATACAATATAATTTAAATGGACATGACTAACGGGTAAATTAGTAGAAGGGTCTTTCTAGCAAGTGCTCCTAAGGCACAAAGTAAAAGACAAAAAATTTGAAGAACACAAGACACTTTTCACTAAATTCAATGCACTTTTACTGAAATTAACACACGTTTTAATAGTTTTACATATTTTGAAAACATTTTTTACATACTTCCTAACATTAAACAATGCATAAGGGGCACTTGTTAGCATTTGCCTTAGTAAAATTAATCATAAATTCATTTTCCTAATATAAATAAATAAAACATAAAACCAGCCAACATCATTTCTTTCACCAATATAGATTTATGAGGTTGATATTGATCTTTTTTTTCAATATTAGGAAAGATTTTAGGATTGATTTTATCACTTTATCCTTTAGGTTGATCCTTGAAGATATATACTTGACTATCGAAAGTGGACATCATGTAAGTTCATCAAGAGTTATTGGACCAAATTAAAAAGTTGGAGGGTTTGTTTTAAAGAAAATTTAATTTAGGAGCTTAATTAAAAAGGGTTCGAAGTTCATAGGCTTACGATATAATTTGCTTGTAAAAAAAAACTAGAACCACTATTATTCTCTCATTCATAATGCAAGGACTCTAGTTATTGCATTCTCCTTGCCTAATATTATTGGTTTTTAGTATTATAATGAAAATGATTTGTAATTCCCATTATATGTTCATTAGGACAAGGATAGTTCCATAAACTAAATGTTTCCTAATGACACCAATGATACAATTAAGTTGCTCGCATCAAATTCTTTTCTACCAAAACAACATTCGACAATTTTGGAAAAAAAATGTATATATGACTGTGGTCCAAATACATCAGTTAACATCCTCAGTGATAAAAGCAAGATTAGAATCTCTTTCCAAGTACACTTTCAAAATCTCAACAGAAACAACGGTACAGGAAGTCAGTGGTCTAACTAGCTTATCTTCGTATGTAATGCAGAACCTAATACCTACAGTCTGAACAATCCTCATTCTAGAGGCATTTTTCCTTCCAAAGTTTGTAGGATGACCAAACAATACAATAAAAATACATTTTGATATTAATTCTACATATTTTGATTCTATGGATAGTGTCCTTAAAATCTCCCCCTCGTGATAAACTTTTGTGTTCTTTTTATTACTTGTAATGTGAAAGTAACATTCAAAATATTTGGTTTGACTCTCAGATGTATGCATTTACATTTGGATATGACAAAAAAATTCTGTTGCATGTCAAAAATGGAAAAGATAATTCCAATAGCAAGCCATAAAAAGATGAGATCACGTAAGAATTCCATGTTTTGGTACAACATGAACAAACTGACTACAACTTAAAAATTGTTCTTAAGGATAAAATATTAATGACAGAAAGCATAATAAAGTTATACCATTGTTCATTGTCAAATTGAAAGACATGAAAGCAGTGTGGTCTTCAACTCATTGATATCCTTGAGCAATTTCTCATTCTCAATCTTCCCGTTCTCTAACTCAAAATGCAAACCTGCATTCAACAACAATTTGCAAAAGATTACATCTAATATCTTGGTACACATGAATGATGGTTTTAGTATCCCTTATCAAAACAAGTGCTTTGAACAAGATAACAAATTTTCATTTAAGTTCTAAATTTTTAGCATTAGGTAACATAACAGCAGTTACAAGACTTTTGAGTACAAAAGAGGAATACCAATCATGGTACAAGAAAGCCCATTAGACTATCCAATATCTATTAAGAGAAAATCAACATTACCATAATTGGAACCATGAAGATCTTCAAGAATCTCCTCCACAAATGCCGACATTGAGTTCTGCAAAGCATTATTTTTCTTATTCAAAAGATGAAATTCATTTTCAAGAAGCTGTTTTTCTGATAATAAATCCCCCAGTACATCATTTTGTCCCTTTTCAATATTCCTCTGGAAATCTAGGCATGATGTAGTGAACCCTTCCCTGTGCCAAAACAATTCAGTCAGTTATATGAGGAAAGCAGATAAAGTAAATTCTAAAACTATAGTGCTGGTATCACTTTTATGGGAACTATCACACCTTTGAGAGATTTTTATTTGGAAAAAGGATTGCAAAATTCCAGGTAATGGAATAGTATTAGACATTCCAATAGCTGTTAAATAATTTCACAAAACCTCATCAAATGTCAAATAGAGAGAAATACCCATAAAACTTAACATGAAAGAATTACTAATTTGCTCAACATGTGGATGGGTTTCAGAAGTATATACATCAGCTTATCTGTGGCAAGCACATTACACCCATGTTTCTCTCCTAATCTACTGCATTATAAAAAATTGCTAGCAGTGGAGCCGTGTAGAGGGAATGTTCCAAACGACAATTATAGCTCTACAGACATAGTAATAGTACAGTGAATCAAAGAATTAGCTTTTTTACACTTCTTAACACAAGACTTCACAAAACCAAACCAAGCATGCTGGTAGCATCCAAAATTATTAAAGGCAACAAATCTTATTTGTGAAAGAACATAAAGAATATGCAGACAACATTTGTTATCTAGAACAATGAGTGTACTAATTATGCGTGGAACACTATGAAATTGAAAGTGCCAACCTCTTTTGCAATAGAACAATTTAATCCTGCATTGAAATGTAAATCGATTAAATCTGACAACATAAGAACAGACCAGAAATCTCAACAAGAGAGTTGAAAAACAGGGGAATATACAAACTACTCCTTTATGTTATCCAAATATAACTGTTTGAACTTGATTATGGATAATCCAAGTTTACTAACATGATTTGTGAGACAACTTCATCACAAATGCTGGAGAAACTGCATCTCTAGATCTATAAGCTTTAGTTGATCACTGTCTGATAGTAGATAAGATATGGAGTACTAAATTAGGGAGTTTGTAAAATAATGGCTGATTATGATGACCAGTAAACCATTTAGCTCATGAAAGACACTTGTAAGTTGAGAAAGAGGTTTAGAAACTTTTAAGCAAAGGATTCATAAACAGCCATTGCACATATAAATTCCTCACTCTAAGCACCTCTCTCTCTCTCTCTCTCTCTCTCTCTCTCTCTCTCTCCATATATCTGTTTCAATTGTGCAAACTGTGCAAACAATGTTGAGATTGGCCAAACTGCGCAAAGTAAGAGATTCAGATAACCCGTAGTATTATATTTATTTTTTTATGCACATTCACATAGATTTTGACCAGTACCGCATGTTGTTAATTCTTTGAAGGATCTCATCATGCTTCATCCTTAGACAACATAACTCCTCCTCCAAGAGTTTTACTGAGGTTCTTGAATCAGCTATGAACAAACAAGACAAGAGAGAATTAGGGGATGAAGAAAATGATAATGCTGCACTATGAGAAGGAAACTCATAAGTTTGCCATAATTCACAAGGAAATTCACTGTGCTCCCTTAAAATTTCAATTCATATAAAATTTTGTCTCATTTTTCATCTCTTTTACACTAAATATAAAATTTAGCATTGATTATCAATGTGTCTATACACTATCTATCAGCTCCGATTGCTTTAGCCTTAATAAAAAGGATGTCGATATAATTTTGCCAAACGTGTGGGGCTTATTATATTTTGGATAAATTACACTCACCTCCCCAAAGGTTTGAATGAAATACGGTTAGCCCTACACTTTTGACATAATTATACTAACTTTCCTTTTAGTATGGCTAAAACGACTAATGCAAATGGTAGATAGATGCTAAAATAAACAAAAATAAATATATATATTTTAGTTCAAAATAGATGATAATATTATTTTTTCTTTCATACAACTAACGAATTATTATGAAAAATGACCTAATTGTCATATGAACTAAAATCTCAAGGGACGCTAATGTAATTGTGTGAGTGATTTTCTGACCACACCGCCCGCCTAGTAATCAGCTGGAGAGCACCGGCAGAATAGATGGTTTCAGCTCACCTGTAACAGAAAGAAAAGGTTCCGGCGGTGGTTCTTCCACCCGGGGGCACTCCGATGATCAAGTCAGTATATCTCTCAAAGATAATCAAGTGCTAAACTCACTATTCAAAGCATAAAACTGCGTACCTTAGACCCACGGGTGGCTCTCTTTTATAGCCAACTCAATCCTGATCCCACTAGAAGCCTAGCTTCTATGGACTCCCATTCAGTGCTTACTTTGGATTTCTCAAGAGATAAAGATAAACTCCCTAAGAGCTTTATCCTTATCTTGGCTAAGTCTTCTCTTTACTCTAGCTCTTGTCCCTTATCTTTTATCCATTTATCTCGGATTCCAATATCTTCGGAGACAATCTCGGCCTTGCGGATAACCTCGGCGTCACAACCTGGACACGTGGCACGTCGGCTGACACGTCGGCGTTACCTTGCCACATGTTGGTATTCAGAAAATACATCCCCAACAACTGCCCCCTAGGTTCTATTACCTCGCGCTGATTCTGAGGTATGGAACCTATATCTGTATTTTCTTCCAGTAAATTTTCTTAAAACGTTTGATAGCCGAGATCATCTATTTTAGGCCGACATGCTTTCCCTAAAAAATCAAGATTTTGAAGGAATCTTACGCGCATGAGCTGTCATGCACTTTAACCCAACCGTTTTAGACATGCGTTTCCCTCCTATTGGTCCGTACAGGTGACGTGCTTTGTTAGCCACCTCTTTTCTCACATGCGCCGTCTGACGCCCTCGTTCTTCTAGGCGTATTGATTGCTTTTGCCGCCGTTTCTGTTTTATCAAAAACTTTTTTCCTTTTTTCCGTCTCTTCACTTTTTCATTCGAATCTCCTGCTCTCTCTCTAGCTTTCGAAATCCTCCATCGCTTTAAACTTCCAAAGCTCTGCAGCCTTCTCCGTTCACCGCTTCCAGCAAGATTTCCACCGGTCTTCTGCTCTTGCAATTGTCGTAGGACATCGGCAAATCCCTTTCCGGCTTCCCTTTCTCTAGTAAGCTACTGTTCCTTTCGTTTTCAGTTCCTGATGTTTCTTCTTTTTTTGCTGTCGCCATTACTGTACTGTTTCAAGTTTTTTAATTCATAAATCGTACATCTGAATGCATTCATCCATGATTTTGCCTTTGCCTACATTTTGAACACACGCACTGTTTCACTACTTCTTTGCACTTTTGCCACTGTTCTTGGACATATACTCTTGTATTCTTCATGTTCTTGATAGCCCATCCCAATTCTTGTTTCTGAAACTTTGTTTTTGTTTTCTGTTTTTTTGCATTTTTTCCAGATCTGTATCTTTGATCTTCATCTTTATAGCTTTAGGTTTAGGATTTGTTTGTAGAACCCACGATTTAGGGCAAAACTGAAACATTCCTTACAAATTTTTGTGCCAGCCTAAACCTAGGTTTTTGCCGAGGTCTCATTAATAAGAAACATCTTTCTTCTGAATTTCAACCCTTCTAATTCAGGCCGATATCATGGATATGTAGAGACACAGGGTAGATACCCCGACCAAACTTGAGTCCTTTAGGCAGGAGTTCTCCATCCCTGCCGATGTCCATCTGAGACTGGCTGGGGATGATGACCCCATCATGCCTACAGAAAACGCCATGCCCCTTCCCATTGTAGCTTTTACTGAGTGTGGACTCCGGCTCCCACTCAACATCCTTTTTCGGGAGATCCTTCATTATTATAAGTTGAACCCCATGCAACTGGCAATCAATTCTTATCGAGTGATTTTTGGTATTATCGCCTTAGCTAGACAGGAAAACGTTAGGATCACCCTAGCCGATATACAGTATTGTTACACCATGTGTGCCCTTAACTTGAAAGAAAAATGCTTCATTTATTATCTTAAGCCGAGGTCTACAGAATTCAAAATCGTAGCCGACCTCCCAGACTCCAACAAGGGGGCTGGAGATGACTATCTTATTACCTCGGGAAATTGGGAGTTTGCTCCAGACGAGGACATCCATCTCTACCCTCTTCCCCGATCAGTTTTAGAAGGCAAGGGTAAGAGCCCAGCATTTAGCTTTGCCTGTTTTCTTTCAAAGTCTTGAATATTCTGTCTGTTTCTGACGTCTGTTCTTTTTGCAGCTGTTCGTCAGCCACCAAAAAATTTTCGCCAATCCTTTGTCCCCAGCAAAGACTTGAAGAGACTTCTGGATTTGCCAATCGAGAAGCGAAAGGCACCCCTGCTTCTCAACTTCATCCCAACATACAAATCAGCCCTCCCCGACATCCCCAGGAAAAAGAAGAAGAAGAGCTCATCTCCTCCCTCTGTTACAACTCTTCCAGTTGCTTCATCATCGCGAACAGACCAAGGATCAACCTCTGATCCAGCAGAACAGCCGTCGACCTCGGCTCCATACCTCATTCCACCATCCCAAAGAAAGCGTTGCCGACGTCTTGTTCTTGCAGCTGAGATGGGTCGTGCAAAGCCAGTTGCTAAAGACCTCCTAGCCAACATTCCATCATTTATTGATGAACAACCAACACAAACCCAACCTCCAGAAAAACCAAAAAGAATTAAGAAAGCTCAACCGAAGGCGAAAGTGACTCAAGTTGAGACTGAGGACACTTTGCCAGCCCCACAACTGGCTCCAACTCAGAAAACTGCCTCTGTCCCTTCAAAGAGGTCTGCCGAAGTACTTCCTTCCGAATCCTCCAAGTCAAAAAGGCCGAGGTCATCTGCAACGATTTCGGGTTCAAAGAAACTAGCTGTCCCCTGGGCCCCCGAGATCACCCTAGAGGATAAGCCTGTAATGGCAAATGACAGTGCCGACGATATTAATGTCGGCGTTGCACTTAGTACCGCTTTACTTCTCCCAGGCGACTTGGAGCGGAACGCCAAGTACAGCGAGTATGAAAATTATGCCTTAATGTTACAGCACTCCGTTCAGGTAAACGTCTTCTTCTTGGTAAATTTTTCTTTCTCTTTATTTCACACTTTGAATATTCTTTAATACCTTTGTTTTCTTTCAGGCCATCTAACACGCCCATTCTTTCTCGATGCAGTCTTTTGAAGCTGGCCGACATGAAGAAGGAGTTCTCTTCTTCAAAAGATCAATAAAGGCCTTGAATCAAAAATGAAGAAGCTGGAGGATCAAGCTGAAGCTGCAATTAAAGCTCAGAATAATGCGGAAGAGAAGGCCGAGGCTGCTGAGGCTATCAGAAAAGTGGCTGAATCTTAAAGGAGAGAGGCCGAGGAAAAGATGGCCCAAGCTGAGAAAGAGCTTCAGGAGGCCCTGGCCACTAAAGAAGCTGAAATCAAAGAGGCCGACGAAAAGGCATATTCACAGGGTATGGCCGACATCACTAAGGCCTATGAACTTCAAGTGAAGCAGGCATGCAACAAGGGTTTCACCCTTGGTTGAATGTCTCTTCTAAAAAAACTAAATGTTCCTAATGATTCGCCTCTGAGAAATGCCGACAATATTCCTCTTCCATTTCCTCCAGCCCAACCCTCAAATCAAGACGTCGGCGAATCTGAGTCTGAGGATGCCGATGAGGAAGAAGATGAGGCTTTGGTCAGAAAATCCAAAGATGCTGATGGGGCCAAGTCCCCTCCTCAGAATGAGCAAGTTCTAGACTTGACTCAAGATGAGGAGGGTGATGAGGTTGTCCAAGAACCAGCCGACATCGCTTCTGAGGTCAAGACTGTTGAAGAAACTCTTCAAGAAATTGACGCCGAGATAGCGACAGAGAAGGAGGCCGAGGTGGTATCTGATCCTCAAATTCAACAATCTGGCGGAGAGGAGCCTTAGTTCTAAGTCTTCTTTTTACTTGTATCTTCTTGCTTCTTTATCTTAGGGAAGGATGTATGTTCTTTGTATGGCCGATGTGCCTCCTTTTTTACTTGGAATGTTAATACAACTTTTCTCTTTTATTGAATGCTTGTACTCCTGTCTTTTCTTCTTTGTCTTCGTATGATTCTATACTTAGAATATTCTGCATATATCGTATGTACTCTTTCTTCTTTGTGCAATCTTCTCGGGGTAACACACCTCGGTTATGCCACCCAATAATTTATCTCGGCAAGTATTTTGTCCTGTAAATTGCTTATAAGTTTCAACAAGGATAAACATATAATGGTTACAAATTTTTCTCAAGTTATAACAAGTGCTAAGCAATATATTAGCTTAACTTCAACTTGTAAATTACTACAAATTTCAACAAGCGTTAAGCATTACTTCGTTTTAACTTCAACTTGTAAATTGCTACAAATTTCAACAAGTGAAGATAAACAATTAGTTTTAACTTCAACTTGTAAATTGCCTACAAATTTCAACAAGTTGAAGATAAACAATTATTTACTCGACTTAACTCAACTTGTAAATTGCTAACAAATTTCAACAAGTG